GGAGGCGGTGGGGAGGGAGGAGGTGGAAGGGTTTGGGTTGGGGGAGACCTGAAAGATCATCTCTTTCAGCCGCTGCCGTGGGCAGGCACACCTGCCTTTAGCCCCATCCAACCTGGCCTGGAACACTGCCACGGGTGGATCAGCCACAGATGCTCTGGGCAACCTGTGCCAGTGTCTGACCACCCTGACAGGGAAGGATTTCATTCTATATCCCATCTGTCCCTGCTCTCTGGCGGTGGGAAGCCATTCCCTGTGTCCTATCACTCCATCCCTTGTCCCAAGTCCCTCTCCAGCTCTTTTGGAGCTCCTTTAGCACTGGAAGGGGCTCTAAGGTCTCCCCGGAGCTTCTCTTCCCCAGGTTAGACAGCCCTAGCTCTCCCAGCCTGGATCTATGTTAGAGCTGCTCCAGCCTTTGGATCATCCTGTTCCATGCCAGCCCAGGTTGCTCCATTTCCCATCCAACCTGGCCTGGAACACTCCCAGGGATGGAACAGCCACAGCTTCTCTGTCCAACCTGTGCCAGTGCCTCAGCACCTCACAGGGAAGGATTTCTTCCCAGTATCCAATCTAAACCTAGTCTTTGCCAGTGTGAAACCATTTCCCTTTGTCCTGTCCCTCCATGTCTTTGTGTACACCTCTCTTGTGGGCCCCTTTCAGGTGCTGGAGAGATGGTGCTGCACAAAGAGTTGTGGTGCTAACAGGAGCTGGTTCTGACGCTGAGTTTGAGGTTTAAATTTCCTTTTCAGGTTTGGTAGATCTCTGAACAATGATATGAATAGATTGGAAAAGACAGACAGGTGTTGTCAGGTGTGGCCTCTGTAAGTCTGGCACGATGGGAAATTCCTGTCTGCATCACAGGTCTTGAATGTGTCTCTGAGTTCTCTTATGTGCAGGAGCTTTACCTCTTAAGCATTAGGAGTTGGACTTTGATGTCCTCCTGAGTGCCTCCCAGCTCAGGATATCCTGTGATTCTGACCAAGCCCCAAACAAAGACCCTTATCCCTGGATCTGAAAGTCTGCTGGATTGTGGAGCTGCTTTTAAATTCTGCTTTATGATCCTTCAGCTCCACTTTCCTTTTGCCTTTGGAAAGGGCATGAACAATGTGAGTGGGGCTGGCTTGTTTTTCCTGCAGCTGGTGGAATAGGCATTTTAACTCACTGAGGAGTATACAGTGAATTAAGTTGTGAGTTTGAGGCCAAAAAAAAGGCAGACAACACAAACTGGAAGGAAACGCATTGTCAGGGTAGAACTCGAGAAAACAATAAGTGACCTTTTCTAGTGTGGAGTTGGACATTGGATGAATTTAAAATCTGAATTAAAAAACCAGAAACTAGTTAAATATGCAAATATCTGTCCTCTTCCAGATGCGTGTGATCCTCCAGAGAGGCTGCAGTATGCAGAGCTGGAGGAGAGTTTCAGGCCAATCAAGAGTTTTCCTGTTGGGACAGTGGTTACCTTCGTCTGCCGTCCGGGATACATGAGAATCCCTGGAACATCAGCCACGTCTACCTGTCTGCCTAACTTAGAGTGGTCACCCATGGAGAAGTTCTGTACAGGTAATGTGTGCAGGAGCCTTTGGCTTTTTCCCTTTGACATGTAACAACTTTGGTTGGTTTGCAAGTGGGAATAGGTATTTCAGAGGAAGCTTGAAAAATGCTGCTGGTGGGAAGAGCAGTATATGCCAAAGGCTTTGTCTTTGTAACTGAAAAGATGTAGATTTGTTCTTTCTGTTTTTTTCCTCCTCTCCCCAGAGAAAGTATGTAAACACCCTGGAGATTTAGCACATGGTACTGTTCATGTGACAGATCTCAAATTTGGCACCACAGCTACTTTTACTTGTGAACAAGGGTAAGTACCTTGATAGAGTTAACGAATCCTTTTTCTGTTTTTTTTTTTCTGTTGACACCAGATTTGAAGCAAACCTAAATTTTCTTAGGTAAGCTCCATTCCAGTTCTGATTTGAAATCTGAGTTCTACCTGGAGCAAATGAACTTAGAGCTAAATTTCATTTGATTCCCTGGGTTAGTTGCTGTTTGCATCACCCTTCAGCTTTTCAGTGAGATTCTGCAGATACCTCTAATGACTTCTTGTAATGCTCCTGTGGCAGAGGGAATAAATATATGTATTTATCACCCTTCATTATTATATTAAATAATGGCCTATTTGTCTGTGTGTAGGAAATTGAGTCAAAATTACTAAACTCTCCAAGGTTTTTCTTCCCTTTCCTTTAGTATTAGCAGCTTTAGGACTTAGAGGGTACATATCTTAAAATGGTAACATTTTATCAGTTCCTTTAGTGGTCTCATTTGCTTCTGTTTGGTTTTCAGAATGAGACTGTTAGCAAAATAAACCAATTCAAATACTGTTCTCATTAAAAACAGTAACTTGATGTGTTATATCCTTATAATCACAGAACAGAATTCTATAAACTGAAATTGTTGGAGAAATGAGAGATTTAAATTTCACCTCTTGAAAAATTCTTACCTCTCTAGGTACAGATTACGTGGAGCTGATGAAATTACTTGTGTAGTTAGCGGTGCAGGTGTTGACTGGGATAAACCTCTGCCTTACTGTGAAAGTAAGTAAATGACTGCTGTGCTTAATTTTCCATTCTGATGGTTGTGGTTCATTTAAAACCAGCTGTGCCATTTCCAGGATAAGAAATTATGGTAAAATAGGGCTGATTTTTATTTTTTTGGAGCTACTTGGGAAGTGCCTGAGGAATGACCACTGAAAAATATCAGTTATTGTAATTATTATCTCAAACTAAAATCAGCCTCTTACTGAAACTGAGATTCTCAGTTAGAACTGTAGCTTGACTTGAAGTAGCTATGGCAGGTTTTAAATCATAGAATCACAGAATCATAGAATTCAGGGGTTGGAATGGACCTTAGAGATCATCCAGTCCAACCTCTGCCCTGGGCAGGGACACCTCCTCACTAGATCAGGTTGCTCAAGGCTCATCCAGCCTGGCCTTGAACACCACCAGGGTTGGGGCAGCCACCACATCCCTGGACAACCTGTGCCAGTGTCTCACCACCCTCACAGGGAAAAACTTTTTTCTATTATCTAGCCTAGAGTTTCCCTCTTTCAGTTTGAACCCATTCCCCCTTGTCCTGTCCCTGCAGTTCCTAACACAGAGTCCCTCTCTGGCTCCTTGTAGGCCCTTCAGAGAGTGAAAAGTTGCTCTGAGGTCTCCACACAACCTTCTCTTCTCCAGGCTGAGCAGCCCCAACTCCCTCAGCCTGTGCTCACAGGAGAGATGCTCCAGTCCCCTTAGCAACTTGGTGGCCTCCTCTGGACTTGCTCCAAAAGTTCCATGTCCTTGAATGACTTGGCTTGAAAATCAAAGCTTGCTGATTCTGAGATGAACAAGTTAACACACCCAAATTCTGTCTAACTGATTAGTATGGTTGCTTTCCAGTCATTCCCTGTGAGCCTCCTCCCAGCATAGCCAATGGGCAGTACTCAGAAGAAGAGAGCTATGTGTACATGACCACAGTGATCTACAGGTGTGATGAAGTGCCCAAGGGACAGCCTCCCTTCTTCCTCATTGGCTCATCTACCCTTACCTGCATCTCTGATGAAGAATCCAATGGAGTTTGGAGTGGACCTCCTCCACAGTGTAAAGGTTGTTGGGCTTTTTAATGTCTTTCTTTATTACAGCCTATGTGACTCCAAAATGTTGATATCTGTCCCTTTTTTGAGGGGAGGGTGGGGTGAGGAATGGACTTTGCCTGTAGAAAAGAGCTAAGTCCTCTGGTACTAAGTTGGCTACAGTTCCAGTGGAGATCAGATCAGTATGGTGGATATTGACTGATCAGAATATGGGTAAAATTTCAGCTGAAACTTCAAGTTTGAGATTGTTGGTAGAAATGACAAGGCCAAAGTGAAGGAACGGAGAGGCCATACAGCCCGAGTAGCTGAAGAAAATTTGTGTGAAGAGCAAGAATATGAAAGTTAGATTAGGAATAGAAGAAGCTAAGGAAGAGTCTCTTCCTAAAAACACAGCTGCTGTGGAAGTGCAGGAATAAATGCAAAGCCCAATGTCAAATATGAGAGAAGTAGGTGTTTGCATGGTGCTGTGTGAACCCTGAGCAGTATGGAACGGTTTGGGTTGGAGGGACCTTAAATCTCACCTCATCCCACCCTCTGCCATGCCAGGGACAGCTTCCACTAGCCCAGATTGCTCCAAGCCCTGTCCATCCTGGCCTGGAACACTTCAAGGGATTTCATTCTGTTTTCTGAAATGCTCCCACTGTACAGGAGTGTCCTTTGGAAGTGGAATGTGATTGTAGCAATTACTACAATTTCTTCCTTGCTGTGTCCTGTTCCACCCCAATAGCTCAAACCAAGGACCATCTCCACCTTCAGGACAATAACTTTCTTTACAAAGCCCTTCCAGAACAACTTAAGGATTGGGAAACTTGCAAGTAGGACAGGATGTTGTTGTTACCTGTTGCAACGTTACTGTTAATGGATGTTTCATACCTCTTTTTCTTTACCTCTTTCAGTGATCCAATGTGAAAACCCAAGGGTTGAAAATGGGAGAAAAGTAGCTGGATTTGGACCTTCCTATTTTTATAGGGACTCAGTCATATTTGAGTGTAATCCAGGCTATGCCATGGTCGGATCAAATGCAATTACCTGTGAAGAAAATAGCACCTGGGTTCCTCCAGAGCCAACCTGTGAGACCAGTAAGTCTTTCCATAAGAATTCAACTTCTCTTGTGTCTGTCTGAGCTAAAATTTAAGGTCATAACTCTGCAGTTGGAAATCAGGAGCTGAGGAAGTTGTCATGGAGCTCATCTGTGGGCAACTATTTAGGTGTTTGAGTGACTCTTAGCTCCAAGGAGTATTTGGATGAGTGAGTTGAGTGCCAGATGTGGTGGAAGTTGTGGTGTGGACATAGTGTGCTGCTACTGCATTGTAATAGCATCTTGGTGTGTGGTGTAGTGATTTCATGAGTACAGGAGTAAAGATGTGTTTCTGAATTCTGATGGAGAGAACTAGGATTATACACAGTGAGGAAAGTTGGAGTGTCCTTCTTGAGAGATCAGAGTCTTCATTTCTCAGTGTTTTGTGCAGCAATTCAACTCTCATTTTCCAGGCATCTCATGGGTGTGTAGCATGTCAGGCAAATTTTTAAGTCAGGACTAATTTTATGGGCTGGGTCTATGGCAGAAGTATTTCTGAACCTTTCTCCTCTTTCTGTGCTAGAGGGAGAGGGAAGGTCGTTGTAGAGTACAGTGAGGAAATTAAATGCATAGTCTGATAATGACTTCCCAGGAATGAGAAGCACTTTG